GGAGAAGGAGACAAGGGGGCGGGGGAAGACTTCCTGTTGAGCAGGAATGGGTGTTACATAGCTAGATCTTTAAGCATCAGAAAGACAGCTACCAGACCCACTATGGCTGGGATGTGGCAGGGGATGGGAAAGGTGGCCCTGTCACCTCCGAGAAGACGCCATCAGCCTGGGGAGACACTCTGTGAGCAAACCCCTGAAAGCCTTGTGGGGCCATCACGTGTGCTCTGGAGCCCTCTTGTGGATCCTTGCGGTAAGTGCATGCAGGCTTGCAGTGCGTTTCTCCCACGTTTTACCCTTTCCCCTGTTCTCTCCTCCTCCCACCGCTCTTCCCAGTAAATGACACCTTTAAAACCACAGCCACACTCAAGAGATACGTCTGTTGTGGATACTATGAGAGTCACTTCCTAAATACCCTGAAAGAAAGAGCTTGTTGACACACAATTAACATACTTCTCTGCTCCAGGGCAGATGTCAATATTTGCTCATTGAAATTTCCCTCCCTCATCCACACTAAAAGAAACAAAATAGCTCCTCCAGGTGTCTGGCTTTTATTATTACTTGGAATCCATGTCTGAAATCGTTCGAGTTTCTAACTCATCCACCAACCAAATGTCATAAACCTTTGTGGGAACTGTGAAAATAGGAAAGAACAGCGAGTCAGTCGTTCATTCATTCATTTACTCATTCAGCAGGAACTTACTAAGCACTTCCTTTGTCCAAGCAAGATGCCAAGGATGCTGGGAAGCAGCCGTGCCATCATGCTAAGATGTGAAATCAAGCACACATGAGGCTGCCTCCCCGCTTGCTTTCTATTAATACAAGCTTTGTAACATTGAGTAACACATACGAAGAGACAGTTTTTCCATTATTTGCTAAAACCGGGATGATAGAACCTCCTCATAAAGGTGCGGTGAGGAGTAAATGAGATAATGTCATAAAGCACTTAGCTCCTAGAGTGGCGGCTGCTGCTATGATGTACAGAATGACCACCGGGTCTGGAAATGTATGTGAACACAGAATTCATGGCTGGTTGATGATTAAACAATATTGCCTGTGTCTCCAGACTTTACGGCCCCCCTGTGTTGCCCCTGCCCTTGATGAGTTTTCAGTCTAGGCTACTGGTTCTCAAAGTGTGGACCCCAGAGCAGCCGCAGCAGCATAACCTGAGAATGTGTTGGAAATGCAAATTCTAGACCCTCTGAATCCAAAACTCTAGGGGTAGGGCCCAGCTATCTGTGCTCCAACAAACCCTCCAGTGATTGTGATACGTGCTCCAGTTGGAGAGTTACTAATCTAGTGGAAAATGACACAAGTATAAGCAAATAACTACAATACACGGACACATCGCTGAAGAAGTGATGTCATGGGCAGGGTTTGAAGGAAGAACAAGTGTTCTCAGGTGGACACAGGCCATGTGAGGAGACATTGGCACCTACAAAGGCCCAGATGCATGGAAGGGAAGTGGACGTTGAGGGAACCACAAGTGATTTGGTAGGGCTAGAGGAGAGGGCTAAAGAGCCAGCTGGGGAGTGTGGGAGGTGAGGCTGGGAAGGGGGGCGGGAGTGAGACTATGACGCCCTTTATGTGCCCAGATAAGGAATTTAGATTTTATCCTGTAAGTGATAGGAAACATGCAAAGTTTTTAATGGAGAATGATATGACCAAATTTGAATTCTAGAGGAAAGCACTTTTGCAGCATTATGACCTGGAGGCAGGAAGATCAGTTGGGAAGCTTCTACAATAATGGAAGTGAGAGTCCATGTGGGCCTGAACTCAGGCCATGGCTATGGGGATGATGAAAAGTGGGTGGGTTGAGAGATAATTGGGAGGAGAATTGACAGGACCTGTGGGGGAGGTGTGAGAGAGGGAAAGGTTGAGGATATCTCTGAGGGCTCTGCTTTGGTGGTATTTCTAGAAAAGGTGGAACCGGCGCAGAGAAGCAATGATTTCAAGTCTGGATACATTAAATTGGGGGTGCTCAGAAGAAAGCTCTGGGCTGGTAACTGAAGCAGAAATCAATTATGCCTCTGTTGTTTATCTCCCAATGTTTTACATGCATGAATTCATTTCAGGAAATACTGGATTCCTATCATGCACCAGAAAGGTTCTAGGAGGGAGTGAAAAACACAATAGCCAGAATCTGCTCCCAGGACTATGCAGCAGAGGGGGCCAGCAATACATAACCAAACATATACGTACACAAACATGTTTCAGGTAGTGCCCGGTGCTGTGAAGAAAAGTAAATGTGGAGGGGTGGGGGAATTCAGGCGGAGCAGTCAGGCATGGCCTCTCTGAGGAGGTGACATTGTAGCTAATCCAGAAGTCGGAACCGTGTGTGTAAATGGGAGGAGAGTGCTCCCAGGCAGGGGGAGCAGCAAGTGCCAAGGCTCTGAGGTAGGAATGGTTTTGACATGATGGAGGGAAGGGAAGATGGGAGCACAGCCTGCCAGTCATGGGACGCAAGGTCAGAGAGAGGTGGACAGGTACGTTTCTAGGGACTGGTGAGATGCCGTAATACATGTGAAAGTGTTTAATAAATAGTCTCTAGAGCCATGTACAGAAAGGAATATGAAGATGGTATCTGCAAGAGGGAGAAAAGAAGAAACAATTCACAATTCTTACTTGAAGCAAGAAGCATGTGGGTCCAAACTTAGGAAAAGCTCAGCCTATAACTGTCATGTGATATTAGAATAATTTCCAGAACAGATACTTTGAAAGGAAGAAGGAGGAGGAGGAGGAGGAGGAGGAAGAAAAGGAGGAGGAGGAGGAGGAGGAAGAGGAGGAGGAGGAAAAAGAGGAGGAGGAGAAGGAAGAGAAAGAGGAGGAGGAGGAGGAGGAGGAAGAAAAGGAGGAGGAGGAGGAGGAGGAAGAAAAGGAGGAGGAAAAAGAAAAAGAAAAGAAAAATTTGCTTTTGCTTTAAGAATATGGTTAACAGGCCCAGGCATGGTGGCTCACACCTGTAATCCCAGCACTTTGGGAGGCCAAGGTGAATGGATCCCTGGAGACCAGGAGTTCGAGACCAGCCTGGCCAACATGGCAAAACCCCATCTCAATCAAAAATACAACAATTAGCTAGGTGTGGTGGCGGGCACCTGTAGTCTTAGCTACTCAGGAGGCAGAAGCACGAGAATCACTTGAACCTGGGAGGTGGAAATTGCAGTGAACTGAGATCACACCACTGCACTCCAGCCTGGGTGACAGAGTGAGACTCTGTCTTTAAAAAAAAAAAAAAGAATAGGTTAGCAGCTAAGCTGATGTAGGTGGTAGATGATGGCAGATCTAAGTGCTGGCAGATCTTGGCGGTGGGGGATGGAAAGGTAACCCCTCCTAGTACACACAGATGAGGATTTCAAAGCAGAGAGGGAGGGAAAGGGGATGAGGCAAAGGTCCTTCCTCCCCTGGCTAGACTGGGGCTCCCTCTGGTGGTGCCATTGCCCCAGGCAGCTGGGCAGAGGCGCTTCACCATCCCTGCAGAATCTGAGGCCAGACCAGAGGGTGAGGCCCACAGGCCTGTGCACGCTGAGCCTCACCCTTGCGAATGAAACCAGCTCCCAGCCTGTCTGGGAGATGGAGAGACCCAGGCCAAGGCAGAGAGAAGTGAGTTCAACTGGGTAGCTCATGCACCACCCCAGCCCAAAGAGCTGTGTCTTCTGCTTCCAAGGTTAAGTCCAGGGCAACTTCCCAAGGCACACCTTTAGCCACGGCAGGAAATAAGGGCTCCCCAGCTCACAGAGGGGCCTACCCAACTCCTAGGAGGAAAATAGAGCATCTCCACCCACACAAACCTCCCCCAGAATCACAGGTGCCCCCGTCCACAAGAGCAAGAGTGACCAGAGCTGGCCTTGCCACCACTAGTCTGGTGTCCTCCTTCGTACACCCCATGGACACCTCCCCTTCCCACTGGCTCCACATCCTGCCCCGTGGCTCCATCTCCTGCCTCTGAACCTCTGCCTGTGTGTCTAGAACAGCCTCATTCCTCTACTTTGTTGAGCCATCTCCTTCCCACCAGTACAGCCCAGACCAAAACTCCACCCACCCCACCTCAGGAAATTTACCAGGACTGACACTGGTTACTACCCAGGCCAACATAAACAGGCACACTGATACATACGTTCCCATCTCTATCTCAGCTCTCAGGAGCCTCGGCACCTACTAGCCAGTCACAGACCCAGCAGTGCCTTCAGTGAAAAACCAGACACTTTAACCATCTCTCCTCCTGACAAGGACGAAAGCAGAACCAACAGCGACATCAGAAAGCAAACTGAGTCTTACTCACTTGATGAAATACACAGCTCCTTCCTGGGTGGAATCCACTTCCCAGCCCTTGGGCAAACCTGTGAGGAAGCAAAATCACCAGAATGAGATACCCTGGGATCAACCTCTCTTCTCTTCCTGTCTTCCCACAAACCCCACCTGCACTTAGGAGGGATGGGTGCCTGAACAGTCAGGAAAATCCAAAGATAAGCCAGTCGAGTTGAAACCAACCATTCCATCCTTTTTTGTCCGTGATTTCTAGCAGTGAGATTCCCAGCAAATAATGAGAGACACGGGAGTGGACGGGATGTTCTCCGTCAATGAGCGGTGAAGTGACCGAATGGATCATTGCTTGGTAGGACGCACTCATTCATTCAACAAATCTTTGCTGAGCATCTACTGTGCGCCAGGCCCTGTGCCAGCCCCTGGATACAACAGTGAACACACAGACGCTTCCCCGGAAGTGTCCTCAGGATCATCTAACCAGAAGGGCAGGTCACTTGCCCCAGGAACTCTTCACAGATCATTAACACCCAAGATCCGAGTAAGACTCAAGTTTCCAAATCCCAGGCCAGTGTTATGGCCATCAGGCTCTGCTGCTTCTGGACAGGACACCAAGGACCTAGGAAATCAGCCCCAGGAAAATGAAGAGACTTGCAGTTTTTACAATCTTTAATAGTGTCTCTGAACAAAAAATTTAGCCACGGAAATGCTCAGAGGAGAATCACAGAATCTCAGTGTGAACAAGGAAGTTGACAGTGGCCAGGAGGCACCCAGGCAGCCCCCACAGGTGGGCATAGCACCTCCATCTCCCAAGATCACTCGTAGGCTCTATATCATCCCACTCGCTCTCCCAAAACAGCCACCCTGGGCAGCATCCCGCCTCCCCAGCAAACAGGATTCCTTCACCCCATGGCTGAGGAGGAGGAGCCTTCTGAGAGACCCAAGAGAGTCCACTGTCAGAGGTGGGGACAGTCAGGGAGCTGGCTGAGAACATTCCTTTTGGGAGTGCGAGCCCCTGGCTGACATATTGGAAAACAGGTGGGGATTCTCTTGATGGACAGTGACTGCCACCTTTCTGGTCAGTCCACACGCCTGCCTTGTGTATGAAGTCTTACAAAGCATAGCTATTCTCTGCTGGTCTGACAGTCTCCTGCCATGTTAGCAGCTGCCTTGAGGCACCAGCTTCTGGGGAGCAGTGCCTGGGTTCTGCAGAGTAGCGGGTCCAGTTTCTAATCATTCATTTTATTCACCTGTATTTATCAAGGGTCTGTATTTCCACAGTTGCTGCTGATGGTGATGGTGCTGTTTCAGCAAAACAGGGCAGCCAGCAAGCCCAGCTCCGGCCAGGACATGGCCCACCTATCACACCAGCTACCACTTAGCGAGTGCTTCCTTCCTCTAAGCTATGCACTTTACCTCTGCTAGTGCATTTAATCTGTATAGCAACATTATACAACAGGTGTCCTCCAAAACATTTTCACCAATGACAGATGAGGAAATGGAGGCCCAGACAGGTTCATCAACTGGCTCAAGGTCACACAGGAAGTGTCTGGGCCGGGATGTGAGTGCTGCTGTGCTGCCTCCAAAGCCCACACTCTTTCCTCTGTGCTGCTCCATAAATGCTACTTGTTCCCCTCTGTCTCTGTGGGAGGATGCTGCCATTCAGGAGGGTGTGGGTTGGCATCCTCCCCAAGTAGAGGGATCCCCATTGGGTCAGAATCATAAATAATTCTGGCACTGTGATGTGCCTGGGAAAGAGGCCAGTGTGGATTATGTCCCCTGCCTTTTTCTAGCAACTTCCCTCCACACTGCCCTCTCTGCCTGGGCAACACCAAGAGTGCTTATATTCCCATCCAGGCGGAGTGCCCGCTGAGGCAGCTGCCCTCCCGGCAAGCTCCGGGGGCATCTTAACCCCTTCCCAGCCTTAGACAACCAGTTGGCTGCAGCCAAAAATGAAAGCATTGGCTCACAGACTGGTATTCATCTTCCACTCCAGCTAGGATGATAATGAAGTGAATGGACTCAACCTGTAAACAGCTGAAACACTGAAGGTGACACCACCATCAACCTGGTAGAAGAAAACAGCCCTGGCCGTAGAGTCAGGAGCCCTTGCTGCAAGTTGGAAATAATGATGGTGACAATAACAGCAGCAGCTACCTCCATTTTCGGAACCACCTCTCTGATGTAATGTCTGCTACTACTTTTTTGAGGTTCATAATCCTCTCCCCATTATAAAGATGAAGAAGCTAAGTCCGAGAAGAATTAAACCCCTAGTACAAGACCACACTGAAAGAAATAGAGCCACAATTGAGTTCAGATTTCTCTGCCTCCAAAATGTATGACTTTAACCATGACACCACTTTGCTTATTAGTCAAGTGGCCTTGAGCCAGGTACTTCCTCTCTGCTCTTCAACTTTTCTACCATAAAATGAAGAGTCGAATTCCATGACCCCTGAAGTCTCTCTCTTCCAGCAATGATCCCAGCTCAGAAGCTAAAAAGAAAAGGACTCTGAACAAGTCAAAGGCTTCATCCTGTGTGTCCAGCAGTGCCAGCCATGCCCATGAGTGACGGAGGCCCTGGAACCAGGCGCCTGGGGTTCAGTCCAGTGAAGGGCTGGAAGGCAAGAGGGGGTGAGAGATCTCCCCACATTGTAACTCACGCCCCCTCTTACTGGCCTGTGGTGGCGTCATGAGGAGGATGAATGGCTGTTCACTTAAAGTACCCAGGCCTTGTGAGTCTTGATGTCTCTACCTCAACAACTTAGACTGAAATCTTTTTCTTTGGTTGTTTCTTCATTGCTGACCTGTTTGTGTCTCACCTTTCCCACTAGCCCTGAGGGCTACCAGTGATATTTTCTCCATAATCAGCAGCAATGTCAGCCTTGTCCCCTTTCACGTTTCTCCTCAGTGGGAGAAACAGGCGCTCCCACTAGCCACGTGGGGTCATTTACATTTGAATTAATTAGGATTAAAAATCCATCTGGGCACAGTGGCTCACACCTGTAGTCCCAGCACTTTGGGAAGTCGAGGTGGGTGGATCACCTGAGGTCAGGACCAGCCTGGCCAACATGGCAAAACCCCATCTCTACTAAAAATAAAAAAAATTAGCTGGGTGTAGTGGCACACGCCTGTAATCCCAGCTATTTGAGGGGCTGAGGCAGAGGATTGTTTTGACCTGTGGAGGCAGAGGTTGCAGTGAGCCGAGATCGTACCACTGCACTCCAGCCTGTGCGACAGAGTGAGACTCTGTCAAAAAAAAAAAAAAAAAGAAAAAGAAAAATCAAGCCCTCAGTGATGCTTGTATTTCATTTGTTCATTGCCACATGTGGCTCATGGCAATTGTATTGGGCAGAGCAGAAAGAGAACACTTCCATCATGACATAAAGTTCTAGAGCGCAGCACTGGAGGCTGGCTTCTGTCAGTGCAAGAGCCCTTGAGACAGGGGATTTTCTGACTGGGCAGAGGGATGAAAGAAGAGTAAAAACCTCTGTCCTCAAAGGTCTGTCTCAGACACCAATTTTGGAGGTGGAAGCCTGGAGAGACACTGAGGTGAGCTCCAACCAGCCTGCAGTCTCCCCCAGATGGCAGTCCAAATGCTAAGCTGAGTCCATCCATGGAGAAAGGAAAAAGTCAGAAGCAAAGTTGGGGCACAGAATTCCTGCTGCCACCTCAAGCTATTGCATCCTCCTCGATTGTAAAGGCGGGGACAGAGGATCCTTACCTGGGCAGGAGGTATGTCCACTCTGGATGGGTGACTTTGTTCCAGGGTGCACCCAGCTGGTTGACTTTTCCTCATCGCTACAGAAAGACCAATAAGAAAGTGTCAGCTACAAGAGAGGTTTTTCTGAGTGGGACACTCATCTCCAGATTCACATTAACACCGACTATTCAATCCCAGACACACGAGATGGGAGCGTCCACAAGGCTGTTCATTCGTTCACATTCACAGAGTATTATTTACGGAGTACACTCTGAGGGTTTCAAGATGAGTAATATCGAATCCCTAACCTCAAAGAATCTACAACCCACTGGGAAATAGATGCATAAAAAGATAGCTGCAATACAATGTGATAGGCACTATAATCCCTATTGTAAGTATGCGTAAAAAGTGTGATACCATCACAAAGAAACGAGTGTTACCTGGCATGAGGTTAAGGAAGGAGAAGCATGAAGGCTTCATGACAGAGGCAATGTTAGAGATGATTGCTAAAGGCAGGTGGGAAGAACAAGGAAGGTCCTTAACTGGCAGTTTCTCTAATGGATAAGAAAAGGAGGAGACTGAGTGAACCCATAGTCCTTGTGTGTCAACAATGCTACGTATTTTTCATTCACGACATTCCCTCACACTAGGAATTTTACACATTATGAATCTGAGGTTCAGAGAAGTTAAGAAATTTGGCCAAAGTCACAACCAGTAAGTGATGAAGACAGGATTCAGACCTAGATCTGTCCCTGACAAAACTCTTTCTGATACCTCACACCCAGCAAGGCAGGCTCCCCAGCAACACAGACCCTCTGGGTTGTAGATTCAATGGCAGATGAAGTCATCATCATTTCTCAATCCCCACCGACCAAGTGACACAGACTTTTCCAGAGCCAGATGTGACCCAGCAAGAAGCACCTGACTGTCTTGGCTACTTCAGGTATGTGGAGGAAGGGACTCTCAGATCACCTGGATCACCCAGGCTTTAGGATGGTGTCTTGGAGCCCAGGCCAAGACTCTACTCAGTGTCTTTAAGGTATAATGGATGTAGAATAAACTCCACTAAGAAAGACTCCATTAAACTTTTATTAAAGTGAGATATTGAATAAACTCCCTATAAAATTTACAATTTAATAGTTTTGACTTATCTATAAACCTGTGGAACTGCCACCAAAATCAAGATAATGAATTCCCAAACTTTCTCTGTGGCCCTTTGTAATTCCTCCTTTCCAGCTACCACCCCTAGCTCTTTCTATCCTCACCCCTCTCCCCAACAACTGATTTGTTTTCTGTTACTGTAGATTAGTTGCATTTTCTAGAGTTTTATATAAATAGAATCATACAGTCATACAATAGAATCATGCAATCATACAATCATACATCTTTGCCTGATTTTTTTTTTTTTTTTTTTTTTGAGACAGTCTCACTCTGCCATCCAGGCTGGAGTGCAGTGGCACAATCATAGAGTCATTTGTAGCCTCAAACTTCTGGGCTCAAGCAACCCTCCCTCCTCAGCCCCCTGAGTAGGTAGGACTACAGGCATGCACCACCATGTCTGACTTTTTTTTTTTTTTGAGATGGAGTATCGCTCAGTCACCCAGGCTGGAGTGTGCAGTGGCACAATCTTGGCCCACTGAAACCTCTGCCTCCTGGGTTCAAACAATCCTCCCACCTCAGCCACCCAAGTAGCTAGAGTTACAGGCATGCACCACCATGCCTGGTAAATTTTTCTTGTATTTTTAGTAGAGACGGGGTTTCATCATGTTGGCCAGGCTGATCTCAAACTCCTGACCTCAAGTGCCTCGGCATCCCAAAGTGCTGGGATTATAGGTATGAGCCACCACACCTGGCCTCTGGCTATTTTTTTTCAGAGACAAAGTTTTACTATGTTGCCCAGGTTGGTTGCAAACTCCTGACCTCAAGTGATCCTCTTGCCTTGGCCTCCCAAAGCACTGGGATTACAGTGTGAACCACAGCACCCAGTTGTCTGACGTTCATGCTTTTGTCCATGTTGTGGCATGTGGTCGTTTGATTCCATTTGATTGCTGAATAGTGTTCCATTGTAGGAAACATCACAGTGTATTCATTCATTCACCTGTTGCTGAACTTACAGGTTGTTTTCAGTTGTGGGCCACTACAAATAAAGCTACTAGGAACATTTGTGTACTAGTGTTGGTGTAAACATATACTTTTTTTTCTATTGACTCCACTAATTTTCTCTAAAGTTGGACATCTGTTACAGGAAGAGATCTCCCAGCTAACCTACCCCTCTGATAAGCAGAGAAAAAAACAAAGTCACTGTTCTAGTGACCTCTGAGCTCGGGCACCACTGAAGAAGACTCTAACATACTGGGTCTCTGGTCTTAGCTTTGGTTCTCGGAGGCAGTGGAAGAGGAAGCCAATAAAAAGGAAGGGCTTGGAGAGGAAGTCAGCCAGTGCCCTCACCTCCAATACATCTCTCCTGAGATTTTCCAGCCCCTGACTCTCCCCTCCTTGTACACTGTCAGCCCCCTCAGACTTCCCATCTATCTCTGCCCCACTGGATATCACAGACAACCCTATCACACCCTTGACATTCCATCACAACCCTCAACTTCCTCTTCCCCTTGTCCTTGCACCATCTTGCACCCCTTGCACCCCTTGTCAGCACCCCCATCTGGGACAGTCACAGGCCGTCTCCACTCCAGCACTGGGCTGATGGGGGAACTGGGCCTGGGAGGACTGGGGTCACTGCAAATCCAGTCTCCCAGCTTAGCTGAGCCCTGAGTGCCACCTAGAATCTTCTTCAAGGTCCCCAGTCAGTTGTCATCCGCAGAGAGCTCCAAGGCTTTCCCGCTAATCTCAGGTCCCAGGCCTGCCTCTGCTACCCAGCCCCTCTCCTGCGCAGAGGATCTTATCTCTTAATCGAAGAAAAAATAGAAAAGATTAGGTGGGAGCTTTCCCAGTATGCCCAATCACCTCACCACCAAAACTTACCCAGATTCTCACCCATCCTTTAATACTTGTCTTCCTCTGGAGAATAGGTAGCCTTCTCTCCCCTTTAAGGCTAATCTCTCTGCCTGGGTTATCGTCCCCCTTCTCTCCCATCTTTTCTCTGTTGAGCATCCCAGCCTTGCATCTTCACCTCCTCTCTCTTTCTGGGGTCCATCCCTTTATTCTCCTCCTCTGTCTGTGTCTTCTATAGTCTCAGTACTCTGCCTCCCTCTCAATGCCATGTCCCCTGGCAGCTTCCTGTCTCACACTCCTCATTCCTGACCAAACCTTTGACAGTAGTCTCTCCTAGCTTTCTCCACTTCCTGGCCTTTCATTCACCAATCCCCTGCAACCTGGTTTCTGTTCCCAGCCCTCTCCTGAAACCACTTTCCTAGATGTCATTAAAGGCCTCCCCCTCTCCTAAATCCACTAGGTGTTTTTTAGCCTTTGGCCCATTTGGCTTGTCTGCTGCATCCAATACTGTTGAATTCCTTTTTTCTTCTTAACATCCCTCTTCCTTGCCTTCTGGGGTGGCATTCTACCCTGGTCCTGGTGCCGCCCACCTCTGCAACCTCTCGGTCTTACTCTCCAACCTGGCCTCTGTTCCTCTATCCCTTCCTTAACACTGGTGCTGCCTGGGTATACTCCTGTCTTTTCCCTCGCACTATTCTGGGTGGTTCTACCCCCACATGATGACCCTTTTCCAGCCCAGGCGTCTCTCTTCAAACTCTATCCTGTATATCCAGGTGTCTGTTAGACAGCATCTCCTGAATGTCCCCCAGGGACATCAACTGCAGTGTTTCCCCACTAAACCGGTACTCCCCCTAAAATGCACTCCTCTTGCCATACTCCTGACCTCTTTCAAACTCAAGCTGGAAATTCTAAGCTTTACCTTTGATTCCTCCCATTGTCTCCCCTTCCCAGAATTCAAGCTTTAGATGAATATTCCTGATTTGGTTCCTGAAGATTTCTCCCATCTCTCCCTCCCCTTCTCTTCTATTCTCACCATTTTAATTCAGGCCCCATCAGCTGTCTCCTGGACTTTTGCAACTGTTTCCTAACTGCTTTCCATACCTTAAGTTTCTCCTCCTGCCTCTCGCTCAGCCTCAAATCACTGCCCATGAAGCTGCCAGAGAGAAGGCTCTAAATGCAGATCTGATGATGTCAAGTCCCAGTTTGAAATCTCCTTTGGCTTCCCATCACCTACAGGATGGAGTCCAGACCCCTTAGCTAAGCACGTAAGGGCTCTCTCAAGCTGCCTCTTCCTACTTTTCCTCCTGGGCCTCTACAGTAATTCAGCAGCTCCACTCCATCTCCACTGAACCTCTCCGAGTGCTCTAGGTTACCTGTTCCCCAGCCCCCATTGGTGCCTTTATTTCCCCAAGCCTCTACTTCCAAGGCTTCTTTCACTCTTGTCTCTCCTCCAGAATCAGCTCAAATGCTTCCTCCTCTGGGAAGCCTTCACTGAACTCCCTGGAGAGCATTAGTTCTTTCCTTCCCATAGCATCTTGCAAATGCCTCAAGAATGTACCATAGTATTTCCTAAGTATTGATTTATGTTTTCTCCCTGTTACCTTAAAGTAAAAACCTACATCTTATTGTTTTTTATCTCCCATGCCTAGCACTGCAGCAAAGAGTGGATGCCCAATAAATGTTTGTAAAATGAAAGAGGAAAATAATCTGGATGGCAAGTAAGAGATCAGGAAGAAAGAAGAGAATGAACCACTTCATCAGTATACCTGAGGGGCTCATGGAAATTCACATTCTAAGACCCTCCCCCAGATGGTCTGAATAGGAATCTCCTGAGGTAGGGCTCAGGAATCTACCTGCTTAATAAGTTCCTTGGGTGATTCTTATAAACTCTAATGTCTCAAGTCACTGCAGTTTTAATATTGCAGAAGTTCTGTTATTTAAGAATCTGACTTAGGGTCAAGACCTTTAATGGAGTTAATTTCTAAGATAACATAATTACAACATCAATTATGATCATGGTGGTGACAATTACAGAAGAAAGGCCTAAAGCAAATGTGGAAACTTAGAAACACCAAAGAGAAACCGCTGCCTGCCTGAGCCCCTGCAAAGGCAGTTTGGTACCTGGGGAAGCAGTGCACTCAGTCAGCAGATGCTAGGCTGAGTCCCAGCTCTGATTAACAAGTGGTTTTCTCTTCGACCGGTACTTTCAATACCTCTGGACCTCAGTTCCCCGTTTGACAAATGAAGGGATTGCTTCTAAGATTCCTTGCAGCTCTGATGTTTTGTAAGTGGCTATCTTGAGGAAGGAAAAGCTCGTCAAGTATGGGTAACAGTCCAAGACGCTGTGCTTCTAGACTTGCTATATTTCTGGGAGATGTCTATCCTGGCAAAAGATGACTGTAGTAGAAGCGAGCCAAAAGAGAGCCAGCAGGGCCACTTTGTTATAATGAGATTATGCCAGAGCCATTTTGGTTTATGAAATTAATATAACAGTGCTAATATATTACTGAGAGTAGCAAAGGCGCTCTCTCTCTCAAGAATGCTAAACATACAGTGGGCATTGTGCCCTTCTCTCTTGACCACAGCCCCATAAAGAAGCAGGACAGGAGAGGAGAACTGCTGTCCTGGGCACGCTGAGTCTGGGGTGAGGGTTGCCAGGAACTGGGTGGCAGAGGCAGGATCTCCTGGTATGTTGTCACTTAGCCCAAGTCTTCCCATAGGAGAGTCTGGGGGGAAATGAAAGACCTACCTCTGGCCCTTTCAGGGAAGGAGCTGAAAAAACTCCAGGTTGGGCATTAGTCTAGTCATCCTCCTGGAGGCCTCGCATGTGACCAAGGAGAGGGAGAAAGGGCAGCACTCCCCTGCCCTGCCCTGCCTCTCCGAGCTGAGAGAATGCCAAGCCTTTGCTGGACTTTGACCCATTGAGGAAAAGGCGGGAGACACATTCAAACAGGCATGGTGATAAACTTATTAGTCATGCCCGCCCTTGCAGCCACCGCTTCACCCACCGCTTCACCCACCTTCTCCAGCCTGCCCCCAACCCCGCCACTTTTCAAGTTGGACAACTTAAAGGAAAAAATTGAAATAAAAAGAAGAGGGAGACCAACATACTTGATGAAGAAGATTCTCCCACCACCGTCAACTCCGTAGGCCCACCGGCCGGGCAGGTCCAGCCAGTCAATCTCATCGGCCATCTCGGTGTCCCTGCAGCCCCTCTGGCTCTCTGTGCCTCCAGGTGCCGGCTGGGCAGGGGGCTTGGTACCCGGGACCCCCCACTTGCTGCCCCCTTCTAGAGGCCGTGGTGGGGGAGGGGGTCCGGCCGGGCAGGCGGCGTCGCTCCCGGGTCCCTGGCAGTGGCTGGCCTCCCACTGAAGACGCGCTGGCTTCAAGCCGGGAGGCAGGGAGCAGGCAAGCGCTTAACCCTGGCCGGCCGGGAGCCCCAGACACCACCTGCCCCCTCCTCGACTCGGAGCTCCTCTTCGGACCGTTTCCTGAACTTTAATGACGGGCAATTAGCGCGGTGAGTAATTATGATGGCTTTCCTGCCGGGACTGTTAACGGGCAGCGCTGGGTCTCCGTTCCTCCTGGCACTGCTGCCCTCCAGCCTGGCGGAGCCCGGCGAGCAGAAGCTGGAGCGGGGAGGATCCCTCCCCGAAGGGAGCAGGTTGCAGTGCGAGCAGGGGTGTTGCCTCTCCGCTCCCAGCTCGGATCTTGCACTTGAACCACCGGCGGGGCTGGGGGCGGAGCCGCGCCGCCGCCTCGGAAGGTAATTCACAGCGCGGAGAACTAGCCGGCAGCCCCAAGTCCCCCAGTCCAGGCGCACCGCGCGGGGAACCAGTTTGACTGAAAGTGCTTTGAATCAGGAACCTGATGGATATGTCCAGCCACTGAAGGGAAAAGGGGAAGTGATTAAACCTGGTTCTATCTGGTGGGAGGTTAGGAGAGAAACAAAGGTCACAGGCACGGAAGTGTGGCGGGGCTATGAGCAGCCGGGGACCCGGGGAGCCTCTCCTAGCTCAGATGCCAGCCTGATTAGTCAAGCTAGTCCTTACCTTTCTTTACCAGCACCTCCTCCAAGAAGCCTGCCATGACTAAGTAGAGTCACAGGGAGACCTTAGAAATACTCAGAAACCAACAGCGTTTATGTCCCTCCATTCCATTCCCCCTAACTTGCACCAGCAATCGAAAAGGAAAAAGAAAGAAAAATAGAAAGAGAGAGAGAAGGGAATGTTATGTGTACGGAATGTAGACTGCAAGCATTTCATACTGGCATACCAAAAACAGTATTGCTGGAGCCCACAGTTTTGCTATCTCAGGGTCTATATTAAAGTTAGCCGGCTTAGGCAACATAGCAAGACCCTGTCACTACAAAATAATAATAATTAATTAGCTGGACCTGGTGGCATAAGCCTGTAATCCCAGCAACTCAGAACACTGTCAGGAGGATCACTTTGAACCTGGGAGGTCGAGGCTGCAGTGAGCTGTGATCCTGCCAGTGCACTCCAGCCTGGGCAACAGAGCGAGACCCTGTCTCAAAAAAGAAAAAATGCTGGAGTCCATTTGGCTTTCCCGGCTTAGTCCGGATCTGCCCCTGGGGCTCCATTTAGGTACATACAGTTCCAATCCATGTGCCAGGCCCAAGAGAATAATTAGACAATGAGAGAGACACCTGTGTTTAAAGGGAGCAATGTGTTCCATGACAGTTGGCAATTATCTGTTGGGCAAACATACATTTTGTGAGTATTCTAGGAGACTTGATCCCCATTTCACATAGGTAATTCCTATTCATCCTTTCAGTGTCTACTCATGTGCCACCTCCTCCAGGAAGCCATTCCTGACACTACCGCAGAGAGATTTATAGGTCCATCCTCCATGTGTCAAGGCACCTGATGAATAACCTTATAGTAGCACTTATCACACTGTAATGCAATCCTTGATTTAGTCATCTGTCTCCTCCATGTGTGCTCCTTGGGGCAGGAACTCCATCTTACCCATCTTTATAGCCCTGGCAGCTGTCTGTGGCACCCAATTAACAATTTTTATTTATTTATTTATTTATTTATTTATTTTTTTTGAGACAGAGTCTCGCTCTATCGCCCAGGCTGGAGTGCAGTGGTGCAATCTCGGCTCACTGCAACCTCCACCTCCCGGATTCAAGTGATCCTCTCACCTCAGCCTCCAGAGTAGCTGGGGCTACAGACACTCACTACCATGCTTGGCTAATTTTTTTGCATTTTTACTAGACAAGGGGTTTCACCATGTTGGCCAGACTGGTCTCAAACTCCTGACCTAAAGTGATCTGATCCACCTGCCTCAGTTTCCCAAAGTGCTGGGATTTACAGGCATGAGCCACCGCGCCTGGCCCAATTAACATTTGATGAATGCTTGATATGGTCATAACTGGGAACTACTCTTAACTCTAACCACAGTCCTATACTTTTAGACTTTATTTAGAGGCACTCTGAATATAACCATCAGCATCATCAGGGTGTGCGTGGGGAGCTCTTTCTGGGAAAAGAAACAGCTTGTGATCCTTCTCATAGATCCCAAATGCTCAACCTGGAGGGTTTAAAATGTATACATCTGATAGATGGTAAAGCTAGGAAATGCCTCAGAGAACATTTAGTCCAATCCTCTTGTTTTGAATATGGCAACTGAGGAACAGAGAAGGGAAAGGGGCTGGTCAAGGTCACCGAGAAAGGTGGTGGCTGAAAAGGATCTGCCCACCAATGTCTCAGGCCAGAGCTGTTTTCATTACATCATTCTCACTCCAACACTGGAAATGGACTCTGCCAACATCCTGGCTGCCAGATCTAAGTTAAGTCCATTCTCCAGAAGCAGAAGACATGCAGAAATCCATAATGTCCAAATTATTTCTCTCTTCTCAGATCCTACAAATTTCTAGCAGAGAAAGCTTCACTTGACAGTAAAGCAGAGCTGCACTTGGGAAGCACAGATGAAGGTCTAGGTGCCCCTTCGTTTCTGAATTGGGGAAGCTTGGCAGATCAAGGGAGCAGACTCTGCCAGGCTGCAGTCCCCTGTCACCAGCCGTATGAAACACCTGTAGAACTCACGCCACTGACAAAGCACAGAGCCACCTGCCTAGCCCCTGTTATGGCCAAGAATATAAACTGCCAGAGTTGCTGCCAAGATGCCTCAAGGGAAAATACCAGCAATCAGTGCACTTCCAGTCCAACCTGAGCAACCAGTAAGGGCAGCTGCTTGTGCTGAACGTGGGCGGAAACAGGGACAAGATGACATATATTTGAAAACATGTATTACACCACTGTCTTCTTTGAGTGCCTGTTGATCTCTTTCTCCACAAGATTTTTGTCTTGTTTAATGTCTAATCTAGCCTGGGGTCCCTAGGGACATTTACCTAGATGAGAAAAGGCCAGTGGCTCAGATTTTTAAGTGTTTATTACTCATTTGAAATAAGAAATCAGGTTTGAAAATATTTTCCTAACTGTGGTGTAGTCTCGCTAGTGACTTTTTCCATGCTAGCTCTTGTTGATCAATTATGATTAGTATGGATACTGCTAGTAATGACATTTTAGCAAAAGAGCTAAAGACATGTAGAAAAAGAGTAGAAAGCCCAAATAGAAGAAGCTATTGGTTCAACAATGACCTGGAAGAGAGAAGGAAGGTTGATATATTAAAATGAAAATCATACATGACTGGCAACGAAGTCAGAAATTTACCTGTCTGATTGCTTTTCCCCCCACAGCAAATTTTTTTTAATCCCTTTAAAAACTTTTTATTTATTTATTTATTTGCTTAGAAACAGGATCTCATTTTGTCACACAGGCTAAGGTGGTGCAGTGGCACAATCAGAGCTCACGGCAACCTTGAACTCCTGGACTCAAGCAATCATCCCACCTCAGCCTCCCAAAATGCTGGGATTACAGGAGTGAGCAAGTGTGTCTGGCCTCTTTTATCTCTTTAAAAGGCAACCAAGCATTTGGAAAAAATATATCAATCATATTTATAAATTATTCTGATTCTCCATTATATTCTGATGTCTTAATCACTTCAACGTTACTATTTCTGGTTTGATATCTGTGGTAGGCTGAAAAACAGCTCCTCAAAAGCTATCTGCATCAAATCCCTGGAACCTATTAATGTTCCCTTATTTGGAAAAAGGTCTTTGCAGATACAATTAAGAATCTTAAGATGAGAAAATCATCCTGGATTACTGGGGTGAGCACTAAATCTAATGACAAGTGTCCTCATAATAGACACATAAGAAATTTAATAGAAGAGGTGAAAGTCATGTGACTATGAAAACAGAGATTGGAGTGATGTGACCACAAGTCAGGGAATGTTGGCAGCCACTAAAAGTTAGAAGAGGCAAAGAGTACATTTTCCCCTAGAGCTTCCAGAGAGAGTGCAGCCCTGCCAATACCTTGATTTCATTCTGAACTGTGAGAGTATAAATTTCTGTTGTTTTAAACCAACCGATTTGTAGTAATTTGTTACAGCAGCCATGAGAAATTAATACAGAACCTACAAGAAAATCAAAACTCAGTGAGGGCCAGGTGTGGTGGCTCATACCTGTAATCCCAGCACTTTGGGAGGCCGAGGCGGGTGGATAACTTGAGGTCGGGAGTTCAAGACCAGTCTGACCAACATGGTGCAATCCCGTCTCTACTAAAAATACAAAACTTTTTCGGTGACGCACGCCTGTAATCCCAGCTACTCGGGAGGCTGAGGCATGAGAATAGCTTGAGTCCAGGAAGTGGAGATTGCAGTGAGCTGAGATAGTGCCACTGCACTCCAGCCTGGGTGACAGAGTAAGACTCTGTTTCAAAAAAAAAACAAAACCCTCAATGAGGACTGAAATAAATGTCCATTATTTTTACCTCTCCAGCATCTACTCTCTCTTCTTCTGTTAATAGCCCCAGGTTTCCTTTTGACATCTATCTACTCTCTGCCACTCTCAGCCTGTGTGGGTTGGGTGGGCTCCCCACCTTTACTCTCAAGCTCCACTGAGGGTTGGGCTGTGACACAGATCTGGCCAGAGATCTGACAACTCTCCATTTCCCTGGTTCAGGAAAGGACACAGGACTCAGACGAGACCAATGAGACTCCATTTTTTAAAGATCCCCAAATTCCTGGGAAGAAGCCCTTTTCCTCTTGCATTTGAAGGTGGCACATGTTGTGTGGCTGTTGCTGGTGTCGTCATGTGGGGCCTGCCTGAAAGTGAAACCAACACAGGAGGAAGTGAAGCCAGAAGACGGAGAGAGACTGGGTCCTCCTTATATCCTGGGAGCCCTGGGATCCAGCTTGCCAGAGAGGCTCTACCCCTAAATTTCCAGCTATAGGTGCCAACAGACCTCTTACTTCCTTTCTAGTTGGTTTGAGCTGGGTTTCTGCCCCTAAAAATGAAAAAGTCCTCACCAATATAAAAGTCACAGAAAAAAAGGCTTTTTGTGTGTAATGGGAAAGCCAAAGAGATAATCATGTGTGTTTCTAGTGACTCACAAATAGGAGCTCTTCTGTTCTGAGAAAACCACAACTTTAGATCAAGAAAGGGTCTTAGTGATCATCTACCCCCAAAATTACATTTTTCCCAACGAAGATACTAGAGAATTCAGGAAAGTACCCAGAGTTGTGGCAATTCCACAGTAGAGTTAAGACCAAAACTCAAATCTCCTGAAAACCTGATCA